CGGTGCGCGTACGCGCCTGCGCGGCCTTGGGGCCCCGCGCGTCACCGCCACGCGCACAGCGTCTTCCTTCGTCCCCGAGGCCGGACCGTGCGTGTGTCTGACGGCCGTCGCGGGCGTTGTGTTTCCCGTCACAAGTCCCGCTGCTCCGTTCATTGCTTTCCACTGGTGACGGATGATCGGGGGGACGTGTCCTTCTGTGGCCCGGTTTCCCTGGGGACTCCTCCTCCGGTGCGGGTGCGGCTCGCTGCTGTTCTCCCAATGCCGATACTGTGCCAGTTCACACTCGCACTCGTCGTCTCCCGAAGTGACCCCCTGGACGCGCTCTTTTTGTAGCGTCTCGCCGGAGGGAGGACGGGGCGGACGCCGGGGCGGGGCAGCCTCGGGAGCTCCGCGGCCCGGGGACGGGGGACGGGGACGGGGTGGGCGGGCGGCTGGGGTGACCCGCGCTGGGCACCGAGGGGCCCTGCGGACCGCGGTCCCCCCCCCCCCCCCAGCGGGTCGTGGCACACGAAGCGCTGGGACCAGGGAGAGGTGTTGGTGGGCAGAACGCCGGGCCTTCTCGGCTGTCCTGTGGCCTCCGTCACGTGGGCTCTGCAGGTGTCAGCGGCTCGTGGCTCCTCCCTGCGTCCTGTGCATTCGCGTTACCTCAGTCTCCCTAGGGTCACTAAAAATGGACGTTCCCCTCGCCACGATTCTACATGTGTGTCTCCGCCGATTCTGGGAAGCTGAGGGGCAAGTGCTGTGTGTGGGGGGGAGGGGGAGGGGGAGGGGGGAGGGGGTCCCGGAAGGAGGAAGTCACAGGCGGTGGGAACTGCGAGCCTCTACCACGCCGCCCAGGAGCTCCTGGGACTCAAGCTGCTTCCCCTCCTTCTCCACTCGGCTCTGCGTCCCCAGAGGGGATCTGTATCCAGTACCCGGCCCGGCTCTCTGGCCTCCGGTCCAACCAGCTCCGGGCCCCACCCCCGCCCCGGCAGGTGCAGCCCCCCTCCCCCCCGCCCCCTCCCCTGGAACATCCCCAGGGGGACCTGCTGCTCCCCCAGCTCCCCGCCTGCCCGCCCGCTGGTGGCCTGGCCGCATTCGTGCCTCTCTCCACCCTTTACTGCTGCCTTTGGGGTTGGTTAATTAAACAATACTTTCAGTATTTCATTTATGCTCCTCTGTTGGCATCACAGCCGCTTCTGCCTGACAGTTAGTGACGACTGTACGCTCGTTGTACCGTGTTCATGGCTCCCACACATGCACACGGCCCCCCGCCCCCCCAGCAGGCTCTTTTACTTAAAATGGGTATGTCTTTTGCATGAAACCTTCCAACTATCTATTGGTTGGATAAAGTTGGTCTTTATTCAAATAAATAATTTTATTTCCAACAGTCTGTATTATCTGTATTGAATGTTGGTTGTATATGTGCGTACATTCATAGGAAGATTTTCTTTATTCAGCTTGTATAATATAGACTCGAAAACATTATACTTTTTATAATTAAATATTAATGTCTTACATATGGATTTACTCTGTAAGGAAGAATTGAAGGGGTTAGTCCCCCAAGTTCACGCACATGGAAAATATATTTGAATGCCCGTGTTTTGGGTCATAAAATTCTTGAGTCATATTTTCTCTCCAGCAGAGTTTTATGGGCATAAATAAACTTTCATTTTCTTTTGAGAAATCAGGTCAGATTGGTTCTCGTCTTGTCAATGATCTGATCTCCTTTTGCTTATTTCGAAGTTGTCAATTGCAAAATGAACAAATCTTTTAGAATTTCTAATGTTTACTCTTAGAGAGAGAGAGAGAGAGAGAGAGAGAGAGAGCAGGGGAGGGGCAGAGAGAGAGGGAGACACAGAATCCAAAGCAGGCTCCAGGCTCCGAGCTGTCAGCACAGGGCCCGACGCGGGGCTCAAACTCATGAACCTCAAGATCGTGACCTGAGCCGAAGTCGGACACTTAACTACCTGAGCCACCCAGGCGCCCCTCCTGACTTTTAGAATGTCTAAAAGAAAGAAGAGTTTTACCAGAGCTCAAGTGAAGCCGCTGCTGGGACCCACACTCGCTCTGGAAGCAACCTTTAGTGTGGGGGATTCTCACACGAAGAGCCACAGATCTTCATGAACGAAGAACATTCCAGAAAGTCACCGACTCATGTCCTGTTTCCAGTACGTGCAAGGCTGCAGTCTCCAACCTTATGGGAACGTGGGGAGGTCTTACTCTTATCTTCCTGTTTGCAACGTTTCCTGCAGGTTATTTGCCGCTGAAGCAGACGTATGGCATGTGCTCAGGGCAGAGAAGGAGCCCCTGCTGGGAAGTCTGGTCATGTCATTCTGGCCTTGGTCAAAGTAGAGCCTTCCTGGGCACTCAGGAAGTGCCTTAAAACTGAATATCTCCTGTATTTTATTGAGCCCAGTAACTGTATTGACTGCTCTGGGTTGTTTTTTTCCTGAGAAGTTTAATAATGTTCTGGAACACTGTTCGAACACTGTTTCGAATCATGTTGGTTGGTTTAAGATTCCCTATCGTCTTTCTGCAACTGGCCGGGGACTGGTGGGACTGCAGTGAGGGGCAGCCCCCAGGACCCCCAGGGGTGAGCATGTGTGAGGTGTGCTGATGGGCTTCCACAGGTCTCTGGCGTTGGGGGTGTGTGACCTCTGAGGTTTCCATGCAGACGGCCCGCAGGGTGACACTGACTCCAGGGAGGAGGCTTCTGGGTGGAGGGACCCCCCCCCCCCACACACACAAGGCCCCCCTCAGAGCCAGTGTGGGCCTCGTGAGTGACTGTGGGATTTTCTCTGAGAAGGGGAGGGCTCTGGGAGGGTTTCCAGCAGGTGCATGGGGTGGGGGAGGGTCCAGAGAAGGTCTTGGAAGGTCTGCTGTTGCCACCTAGGGCGGTGGGGTGCACCGGGAGGCGGGGGTGCACAGGCGGGCCATGGGCCCCAAGCAGGCCATGCACAGTGGGCTGTGTGGTGTCCTCTGAGTGTGTAGGGCTTCACAGTGGAGCCTACAGGGTTTGGGGTGGATTAGACACGGGGAGTGAGACAGAGCAGCCGTGAGTGTGGGTGGCCACGGAGACGGAGCAGGGGGTGTGCGGTGGTGGGGCAGGAACCCGCAAGCTCCAGGGAGCTGCCAGTGCCCAGGTGGCGTGTGGGCATCTGGTCCCTCCAGGGCCAGGACCATCAGTGTGTAAATGGTGTTTGAGCCGGAGGACCGGAGGACGTGGAGGGATGCATGCAGGAGGACTAGGACCTTCGTGCGGGGTCCTCGGTCAGGAGTTGGGGGGAGGGTGGGGGCAGCGAACGGACACCGGCCAGGGAGGAGAGGCCAGACTGCAGACGCCTCAGAGGCCAGGAACGTGCCTGAATGTGCGGGAGGAAGGCGGGGGTCACTTATCTGCAGCTCACGGGCTTGGGTGTCCCGGAACCATTAACCAAACCCAACTTACCTGGGACCCAACTTTGATTTCTCTGACTTAAATGGTCTTCATGCTTTCAAACCATTTATTCTTTTTTTTTTTTTGAGTCTTTTAAAGCATTTTTATTTAAATCTGTAAATGTGCACAGAGGACGCAGGATGTCCCCAGGCCTCTGGCTCTGCACAGGAGTATGCTGGAACAAGGAAACAGAGTGAGAACATCCTACTGCATTGTGGGACAGAGACATATCCTCATTATAGCTATTAAATGTAGGTAACATTTGTCTAATTAGCCCTATTGTAGGGGTGTCTGGGTGACTCAGTCTGTTAAGTGTCTGACTTCGGCTCAGGTCATGATCTCACGGTTCTTAGGTTTGAGCCCCACATCGGGCTCTGTGCTGACAGCTCGGAGCCTGGAGCCTGCTCCAGAGTCTGTGTCTCCCTCTCTCTCTGCCCCTCCCCTGCTCACACTCTGTCTCTTTCTCAAAAAGAAATAAAAAAAATTAAAGAATGAATTAGCCCTACTGTAGTTGTCTCCTTTTACAAAATCTTGCATTTATGCATCTAACCTACAAAATGTGAAAAACGCTCTAGAGAGTTGAAGAAAGGAGTTGGAATGAATCACCGTCAGAAGACAGGAGATATATTTTAAAAATAGAGTTAGGTGTTTCCACGCACACCACGAAAAGGTCCTGCTACCGGTCAGTCCTAACTGCAAATAGTCCTGTTTGATTAAGTAACAAGATTCATGCAACAGAAAAGAAAGTAGCACCATAGAATCTGTAAGTTCAAATAAACATCCGTTCTTGTTTTTGTGTGATGGTGACAGGTATGTGTGCACCTATGTGCTACCTGTCCCAACATGGTGCCGTCTTTTGTTTGGTGTGACTGTGTCCTTGTTGGCTGCCTGTGAAGGCGGCCTCTTTGGGGACCCACACACATGCAGGCAGGTGGGGGGGGGCAGGCTTTTCTCTTATTCTGATCAAAATAGGAGATGACCTCAGCTTGGCAAGCAGGTAGGGAGGGAGCCTCAGACTGGGGAGACTGGATGGGACCCACAGCATAATCCCAGTGGGGGTGGTGGCTGGGAAGCTCCTCCATGGGGATCAGTCAGGATGCGTAAAATAGAAACCCCACTGCACCAGCTTAATCCTCCCGTGTGAGAACAGAGGAATCTGTCAACACCACTGGGGGCCAAGATTTCATCTATATTTTTGGCCCACTATCTTTAGTAGGTGAGCAAAGGGGCTGCTCACCTCTGGGCCTTGCATCTATATCCCAGGATAGGCAGGCAGCAAACAGCAAAGTATACTCTGGAAGCCTCCTTCTTCCCAAGTAGATCTCACTGGCCTCTGTGGGTCCTGTGGCCACTGGGCTGCAGAAGAGACTGGGAGGTGCCGGGAAGTTGAGGGGAAAGTGGATATCAGCTGGGTGCTGGGGTGGCCTGCCCCACACAGACTGTGTGGTGAGGGCCTGTAAGAGCTAAGCCCAGCAGCCTGCAGCCCCCTTCAGCATGTGGCCACCAATTCAAAATGGCGCCAGGGAGCATTGGGGTCATGACCCCTGTGTGTCCAGGCCTGGCTGTGGAGAGTTGGGCTCACCTTGCTGGGTCGTGGGGATGGCTGTGGGTCGAGGTCACGGGTGCCATGCCGGTGAGCTGGAGGGTCCTGAGGGGTCCCTGCAGGTGAGAGTAGGGGAAAGCAGCAACAACCCCAGGAAGGGTGGGCCAGGAGGGGGCAGGGTGACCGCGGGTGCGTGTGCATGTCACCCTGAGGCTGCTGGGCTCGAGGACCAGAGGGGAGAGTGTTTGGGAGGTGGGGGGTCCCTGTGAGGGCCTTCTCAGTAATCAGTCTTGCGGGGCTGGGGAGGGAGATCTGTGGACCGTCGTCTTCTGGAAGGTGGGGAATGGTGTGGCCTCCTTTCTGGCCTCTGGCCGAGCAGTGCGCCCTGGCAGGAGTGCGTCCTCATCCAGGGCTGCATGGGGTTCCCTGGGACCCTCCCCAGAATGGTTGCATCTGGATCTGCAGATCAGTAAGATTCCTGGGGTAGGGGGCCTGTGTGCACTGAAGCTTGAGGGTGCTGACCTTAGGGACCTGGAGAAGTGGGGCTTTTGTCCCCTGCCTGGGGACAGGAGCACTGACTTGTTGGTGTCCTATACTGCTGGGGGCTCCAGGGCTGGGGCGTGCTCCTCTGTGCCTGGGCCTTGCACATCTGGGTCCCTGTGTCCCCTTTGCCCGCTGCATCACCGCCTAGGACCAGGGCTCCTGAAGTGCAGCCCAGCTCTGTCTTGGGCTCCAGCTTGTTCCTGAATGACTCAGGCTCCCCCATCTGAGGCTCCCTGTCCTCCCAGAGGGCATCCTTGCTAGCCCCTCGGTCTCCGTTGCCAAAGTCCTGGACGCTTCTCCTCTCCACCTGCAGCTAGAGTGCCTGGTCCTCCAGGAAGGGGCCCTGACTGACCCACACACTCCAAGCCACACCCTGTGCCCCCCTTTCTCAGTGTCACCTGTACGTGTGCAAACGTCTGCATACCCTCAGGGCCATGTGTGCCTGCTGTGTCACACCCCAGGGCCTGGCTAAGTTCCCTGGGCTGATGAGTGAGGGAGTGAGCGAGTGCAGTATTGTGGTGCTGGGAGTGAGGGAAGAAATATAGAGTTGACCAGAGGAGAGAAACTGCAGGGAAATCCATGGAGGGAAACCCCAGCTTTAAGGTAAAGTACCTGAAAACCTCCCAAGCCTGAGTGCAGGGAGGGCAGGGAGGGGAGGGGAGGGGTGTGGAGGAGTGCGGTGGGACAGGAAGGAAAGGCAGGAGGGGGTTTGCTGCCCTGGAGCTTATCTGCTTCCTGCCTGGGACATGTGGTGCTGAGCCCAGGGAGCTGCGCGGGAACAGGGTGCCTGGAGCCTGGCTGGCTCTGCCCCCAAGACCGGTGCTGGCCCGTGGGGACCTGGGCTGGATGAGCCTTCACCCAGGAAGGGAGGTCTCTGAGTTGGGGGCTCCAGGCCCTCTGGAGACTGGCTCACAGGTGACAGGTGGGTGGGTGCAGGCTGGTGGAGGGCCCCAGTGAAGGCAGAGCTCCTCTTCCTTGCTCCACATGGTGGGCTCGGGCTTTTGGGAGTCCTGTTGTGGGCTGGGGGACCCTGGCTTCCCCGTGTGGCCGAGTCCTCAGTGCTGGGACAGGGGCTCTTGAGGACCCAATGGCTGCAGCATGGGGGCCCCAGGGAGAATGCTGCCTGGATGACCGTCCCCACAGGGGAGGGCACTGGGCTCAGGGGTGATGGGCAGAAGGGGCACACGGGTCCCTCTGGGTGGTCTTCCTGGTGCTGCCTGCTTGGCGGCCGGTGGCTGACGGGCACCCCATGTGCTGGCCGCCAGCCGGGCATTCCTAAAGGGGCCTGAGGCCTGGCTGGACTCTGTCCAGCAGTGGCGCCTGGATGACTGACGTGAGGGGTCATGCTTGCTGACCCCTGCCCAGGGCAGCAGTGGCAGGAGCAGATGCTTGTGTCTCCCTGAGGGACACAGGCCTTGAAGGTCTGCTCTGGAGGGTGAGGACAGGGCCCAGCCCCCCCAACCCCCCGCCCGGCCCAGCCTCTTGTCCTAACCCGGAAGCGGGGAGGCTGAGGGGCGTCCAGGGCTATCCAGTTACCCCAGGAGCCCGCGGACACCTCCTGGCTGGGGGCGGGGCTCCCCTGTCGGACAGCTAGCTCCAGGCTGGGCCCCCAGAGCCCATGGGGACAGTTTTGGCCACAGCCAACATCTCAGTGCTAGTTCCCACCGGACACAGTGACCCCGGGCTGCTCAGAATACTCCAGGCTCCTCCTTGGCCGTGAGGCCCCCGCACGGAGGGATGGACTGCTGGGTGGAGGTATTCTGTCTGGCGGGGCCTGTGGGCGGGTTTTATGAATGGCCTGAGGCACTGTGAGCCCACCCGCTACTACCCACTCTGCCTCAGGCCTGCACAAAATCCACCAAGGACCCCAGGTGGGGAGGCTGCACTGGGCAGCCTGTCTCCTGGAACAGGACCCTCCTCAGGCTATCACTGACCCCCTGAACTGGGTGGGAGGATGCAGACCTCAGGCCGGGAGGCAGGCCCTTCTGCTGGTGGACCCACTTGGGGGCAGGGGTTTCTGGCCTGGAGGGTGTCACTGTGGGACCAGCTTCCGCTATACCACCATGACACAGACTGACTCATAAACCTCCTGGCCTGCTGGGGGCTCAGCCCCCTCCTGGGTCTTGTCTGATAGATGAATGCTGGGGGCTCAGGCCCCTCCTGGGTCTTGTCTGATGGATGGATGCTGGGGGCTCAGCCCCCTCCTGGGTCTTGTCTGATGGACGGACGCTGGGGGCTCAGCCCCCTCCTGGGTCTTGTCTGATGGACGGATGCTGGGGGCTCAGCCCCCTCCTGGGTCTTGTCCCATGGATGGCGGGGGGCAGGGGGGCTTCTCCATGCTGGACACTCCCTCTGAGCTCTGGAGTCTGGAGTTCCAGTGCGTGAGGATTCTGGGGCACGTTCAGCCCAGTCTGGTGTCTGGTTGAGCCCCATATGGGTGGGTGGGCTCTGAGGCAGAAGCCAGCCTCCCCCAGCCCACCCTGCGTAGAGCGGGGCTGCAGCCTGAGCCCGGGTCTGGTGGGCTGGCCTCCTGCTCCTTGGGCTCTGGGCCCCCGGGCATGTTGGGTCCGTCCTGTCTGTGAGGGGTCTGCTGCTCAGCCATGCTGGCTGGTCAGTGTCAGCCAGAATGGGATGCCTGAGGGCAGAGGGGCAGAGGGCTCAAGGAAGGGCTTTTGGGTCTATCCTGGGCCACTGTGGGGGTTGTGACACCTTGAGAGGGTCCCGTACAGAATCTCCCCTCCCTCCCATTCCCCCTGGGGCAGGGGTGTGGCACCTCAGCCCAGCTCCCCCTGCAGCAGCCTCAGCCACTCCCCTGCACTGGCAGTGCCCTGTACACCTGCCCTCCACCTGGCAGGTGCGGGGTCACGGGCGCCGGGACTTGGGAGCCGGGCCAGCACCCTGGGCTCGGCCCCGGGCTCACAGAGCGCTCGGCAGGGGGGTCAGCTCAGATCTCGGTCAGGTTCCGGGCCTGAGCTGCCCCCGCCCCAGTCACTGTCTGGTATCTGCTCTGCAGGAGTCACAGTGCTGTTGGATATCATGGTGGGGGAGCCCGGCTCCCCATCCTCTGTGGCTTCCCCTCCCCGGAAGGGTCTTAGCACAGCACGTGGAGGGAAGAGGAGGGAGAGCTCAGGGAACAGGGAGAGGAGGTGAGGGCTGGGGGCCATGGGGAGGGCTCCCTGCAGAGGGCCTGCCAGCTGACTGTCCCCCGGCCACGTGCCCAGGCCCGAGCCCAGGGTGCAGGAGGGCCTCCTGGGTGTGCAAAAACCCCGCGCCATCCTCTTGTTCTCAGAGGGGGAGCCTCCCAGGCAGTGAGGCCGGGCGGCTGGGAGGAGAGGGGCCGGCTCTGGAGGTCAGCGCTGTCCATACCCTTTCCTCCCAGGGTGCTTGCGCTGGACCCCGGTGCCCAGACCACAGTGCCCCAGCCCTGCCTCAGGACAGCACCGGCTTGAGGTCTGCAGCCTCTGATGACAACTGGGGGGACAGCATGAGGGGACAGGGCCCAGCCCCTAGCAGGAAGCAGTGGGGCCCAGAGGGAGGCTGGTTTTGAGCATAAGCCGTGTCGCCGTGGGAGGTAGTACCCTGGTACCCACAGTGACAGAGGCTCAGACAATATGGCCTGTCCCTGGGGCCCAGAGGCGGGCCCTGCTCACAGCTGCTCAGCCTGTCCTGACCGAGGCCACGGCCCCTCAGTCTGCCTCCGAGGGACATGCTGAGGCAGGTGTCCCCCGGGGAGGTTGAGTGTGGGCTGGGGTGGGAGCTGGGGCTTGGTCGAGGGGCCCTGGGTCCCCCTGGGTCCTGACCCTGGCGTGGCTCATCTATAGTCCGTGGTGAGGAGCTGGGCATCTAGGACTGGTCCCTGTGGCCTGTGGAGGGGGTGCTGATGGAGCCTCTGTGGAGGGGAGGACCGACAGATGGATGTGGGATGACCTGTGCCAGCCTGGGGGCTCTGTGCTCACTGTCCTGGTGAAGGCAGGGCGGCTGCTGGGCCTGGGCTCTGTGACTCACAGGCCTGGTCCCTCTGCCCCTGTGTGCACCCAAGCCTGTGGTTTCCTCCTCCCCAGGCCCAGCACAGCCCCTCTGGCTATGGATGTGCCTCCTCATTTAGAATCAGTCAGCCCCGGAGACCCCCTGAAGCACAGACCCCAGCGTGAGGGGCCCATCCCTCCAGGGCCAGAGGCTAGAGGTGAATGCCTCAGACTGAAAAGGGTGAGCTGCCAGGCCTGGGGTCAGAGGGTGGGCCCCCAGGCGGCAGGTGGTGCTGGGCCTGGTTGCTGCTATGAGGGGCATCACTGTGGTACCACCCGTAGTTATAGACACTGTCTGATGCCCCATGACAATAACCAGGGCCTGGCCCCTGCAGGCGGGGCTGGGGGGAGGAGCTTCCTCAGGACGGGGAGGGCCCAGGGGCCATTAGGGCTGTGGAGGAGGCTTGGATCTGCCCTGGGACCAGGATGCATGCCCGTTGCCGCGGTGGGTGCCTGGAGGCCGCAGTCTGCAGCCCTGGGTGGGCTGGGACGGGAGAGGACGTGCCCAGAACGCCTGGGCTGGTAAAGGTGGATGCAAGGACTGTGGACTCCTCGTTCATGGATGCCAGGACTGGGAGGCACTGGGGCAGGCTGGAGATGGAGGTGTGGGTCTGCTGCATTGCTGGGGCTCGAAACAGTTGCTCCAGGGTGGGAACAGCGGCATCGGGGGCCATGGGCTGGCCAGTGAGGAGCTGTCCGCTTGTGGGAGTCTGCGGTGGGCTGGCAGGGACCTGGGGCTCGGGTTCAGGTCTGAGGGGCACTGGATGGGGCCGGCAGTGGGGGAGGAAGGTAGTGGCTTCCAGACAGGCCCTGTGGAGGGGACAGTCCCCAACGCCACTGCCCTTTGCCTTTGCCTGCCCATCCGGGAGATTCGGGCTGGGCTTCGCTGCTGTAAGTCATGCAGTAGATGCGGTCCTACCCCAACCTCCCCCCCGCCCCACCCGCAGTTAAAATCCCTGCTGTCCTACAGCCAGTCTCCCAGGAAGGTCCACCCAGTGGGGGTGCCCCTGCTGGGAACAGAAGCCTGGACGTGGGCAGGGGCAGAGTGTGTTTAGGAAGGCCCAAGATGTGCAGGAGAGGGCCGGAGCTAGGGGGCCGCGTGGCTGGGAGTGGATGAGGCCCTGGACAGCGTCCTTCCCCAGGAGCCTGGCGGGTACGGAGGGGAGCACAGCTCTGGGCCCCTAGCAGGGCCTGGGCTGGGCTGGGTTAGGCTGGCTGCTCGGAGGGGCTTTCCCTGGAGGGCACTCACTGTGGGTGGGTTTCTAGCCTCCCGGCAACGACCAGAGCCCACACCGCCCGTCTCCTGGGGGACAGGCCCCAGGAGTCCCCGCTGGCCCATCCAGGATCAGGACCCATGTCCCTGAGGACGGCACGGGCTGTGAGGTGCCCCACTCCCTGAGAGCCTGTCCTGCCTCCAGCATCAGTGAGCTCCTACGCAGCCTAGTGTGGGCCTAGCTCCAGTGTCCACTCCTGCCAGCCCCGCAAGGGTCTCTGGGGGTCCTGCCCACTGGGAGTTTGCCCAGGGTAGACTCTGTCCTTCCTGCTCGGTTCCGCCGTGGTGTTGAGAGCAGGTCTGTTTCTGCCAGTGGGGATTGTGCGGCCACCTCAGAGCCCTTTGAAGCCCCCAGCTGCGGGTGGATGTTGTGCCTGGACACAAGCCCACAGGCCGAGCTGGCTGCCGGTGGCCTAGGGTCCCGCTCTGGCCTCAGGAGCCGGGCTGGAGGGCGCTGCCGCTCTGGCTGGTTTTTGCTGCTGGGTCTGTCACCGTGGGCATAGTCGCTATCGTAGTAACACAGTGGAAAGTTCCCCGTCAAAAAGCCCCCGAGCGCGGCGGAGGGGCCCCTTCCCTGCCAGAGCCCTAGGCGCCCAGCCGGGCATGTCTGCACAGGTGTCCAGAGCTGCCCCACGTGGTGGGCAGCTGGCGTGGTCCGGCTGCCCTGTCTCCCCAGGGACACCTGCTACAGGGGCGGGTGGAGACTGAGCTTCCACGGGCGTGGGCACAGGGGGTGTGGGTGGTGGCCCGGGGTCTCACATGCTCTCGGGGTGTGTGCCCACATCTGTGGCCCAGGCCACGGGGAGAGTGTCCACTTCGGGGATACTGTGTCTGCAGCGTGTCTCCAGGGTCGCTGGGGGCCTCCTGGTGAGGCCAGGTTTGGACGAGGCCAAGGGGACCACAGAGCATGGGATGGATGGACCAGCCAGACCGGTCGAGGGGCACGTGGGTCTATCCGTCCTCCCAGAAGAAACGTTTCCCAAATCAGGTTCAAACAGCCGTCCCTGAAGGGGGGGAGTCCCGCCCACCTTCCCGGGTCCCACGGGGCAGGCCCCCAGTCTGCTTGGGGAACAGGTGCTGTGGGGTGACGTGGGGTTGGGGTGATGTGGGGTGTGGTGGGGTTTAGGTGATGTGGGGTGTGGGGTGACGTGTCCGGGTAGCCCAGTGGCTATAGGGTGGGGCAGGGCCCGCTCACCAGGGCAACCCCTGTGCTGTCCCTGCCCAGACAGGCAGGTCTGGCTGAGGTTTGGGGTGGCTTCCGCTGGTGGGTTTCAGGGTCTGATGGAGTCAGCAGGCAGGGTCCTGGCGCGGCGTCCCGGAAGCCCTGTTCCTTCCGTTGTGCCTGCTGCGGGTGGGTTTGGGTTACAGGCTGCACTGCCCTGGTGACACCATATGCATGGTGATGTGGCCCCACTCAAAATCCGGGGGAAGGCGTCCCTGCCGCGCTGAGAGCAGGGCCACAGCTGGGACCCCCCGGGATGGGGTTTTGGATGGGTGCTGTAATGCTGTGGTAGCACAGCTACTCCCGATACAGTAGTCACCACAGTGACACAGACCCGCCTCCAATCCTTCTTCCCAGGGGGGCTGCGGGGCTGGAGGGGGAGGAGCCTGGGATGCCCAGGGCTGATCCGAGGGCGGAGGCGGAGCCCGGGGAGGCTCCTTGCCAGAACAGGGCACTAGGCGGCCGCCCATGCCACATGGTGGGGCGTTGTGAGGGGTCACTCTGGGGCCAGCAGGTGGTTCCCACCCGGGGAGGCTGGAGCGGACAGGGGTCAGTCCTGTTGCCGCTGAGCCTTGCACTCGGGGTCTGAGTTGTGCTCAGACCCGCGAGGGCGTCTGGCTCTGCCTCACCGGCCCCTCTCTGGCTGTCTCCCTTTGCCATCTGCCTGTGGACCCATCTACCTTAGAGCCACCTGGGATTGTGCCATTGTGGTGACGGGCCTCAGTGACCAGCCACTGCCGGAGCACCTGCTGTCCTCGGATGCAGTTTCAATTCCCCCTGGTTCTAGCAGGACCTGGGGCACATGCAGGTGAGGAAGTGCAGGTGTGGGGAGGCCCAGGTGCAGGGAGGCCCAGGTGCAGGGGAGGCCCAGGTACAGAGGCCCAGGGGAGGCCTAATCCTGGTTTAAGTCTTAGTTCAATGAGCTGGAAGGAATTTGCCCTCCTCGAGGGCCCTTCATGTTAGTATGAAAACCGGCCTGCGTTGCTCTTTTTGGGCTCTTTGGAGCATGATTCACTTACAGAGTCCAGGAGCAGGTCTGTGTGGCAGTGACCGCGTCTGTGGAAGTCTGAAGCCCCGTCCACGAAGCCATCCGGGCCGGGGATGTCGGGTCTCTGGACGGCTCCCACAGTGGTGTCCGCCTGCTGAGCCGTCTGGCTAAGCTTCGTTGCTAGGAAAGGAAACGTGACGCCTATTCTGTGCTAACAAGTGCATTCTGCTGGGTCGTCCCCAGCGTGAGCTGCTGCGATACCCTGAGTGGGCGAGTCCACACCCGCACCTGGAGCCTGCCCCACCCGAGCCACAGGAACAGCAGTCATTTGGGGGAGCAGGGGTGTGGACATGCCCTCAGCCGACCACTGAGCCTCCAGTGTCCCAGGTCCCCTCCTGGGGCCGGAGAGGGCAGGGCCGTGGCCCCAGGAGGCCTGGCAGCTTTGTGGGGGTGGGGTGCACATTTGTACAGCAGATGAAGGATGCTGGGGTGGGGCACGTGGTCGTGGGCTGAGTGCTCGCTGTGGCTGCGGGCTGCAACCTGGTGCCTGTCTTCACGTGGTCCTCAGCACCCACCCCGCGGGGCTGTTGTTATTACTGTTATGACTATGCCACTGTGCGGTGGGTGTGCTGAGGCCCAGGCCTCCACACATCTACCTCCCCCCCTGCTCCCTGCTGGTAGAGGTCGCTGGGATGAGAAGGAGGGGACGGAGCTGGGTGGCATCTGGCCAGATGCACGTGTTCAGGGGCCGTGTGGATGGTGCAGTTTGAGGTCCACCCTGGTCCATGAACCCTGGGCTGGTGTCCAGTGCCCATTGGTTCCCCACTGGGACCACCACGGGGTCTGGGAGAGCGGCCTCTCCCCTCATGTCCTCCAGGCCACTTCTGGAGCCACGGCAGACAGCGTCGTGGGATGGCAGCTCTCCCGGCATCCGAGTAGCCCCTCTGCCTGACATCTAGGCCCCAGGGTTAGGGTGGGCTTTCCTGTGGGGCTGTAGCCTGACGAGGGAGCCCCTGGCCGTCCCTGGCCCATGTCCAGCCACAGCAGCCACAGTGCTGGGCCCCAGAGACCAGGGTGCCCATACTTCTCCTAATTTTGAGGAGTGGTCTTGGGGGAGTGAGGGGGACAAAGTTGGGGAGCCCCTTCTGGAACGTTCCTCCTCCCCAGCTCCTCCCCCTCACCCCTGGGACTCTCACCTCTTGGAGCCATGGTGGTGTCGGGTAAGCATTTCTGGAAACTTCCATCTCTGAGCTTTAGAAACCATTTGTGGATTTTAAGGGCTTTGATCCCCAGGAAAGGTGGAGAAATGAGTCAGCCAGGCCAAGTGCTGAGGACAGACGAGCCTGCAGGCGCACAAGCCTCTCCTGCAGCCTCCTCGCTGTGAAACACGTGTTCTTGTGTGCAAGAACACATCTGACGACGGAGCAGGCACACGTGCCCTCTTCCACGGGCACACAGCCGTGTCCGTGGTGCTGTCCTCAAGAAGCGGCAGGACGTAGTCGGAAGGAGAAAGCGCGCATCCGTGCCTGGTCCGTGGGTCGCCCACAGGAAGCCTGCGCGCCCCAGACCTGCAAGGGTCCCAGCCTCCCTGGCTGCCGGTGGGCAGCCCTGTGGGGTGGAGGGTGGTTAGGGGCTTTGGCTGCATCCTGCGTCCCTGCGCTCAGGGGTCCTGGGCGCCCCTGTGGTTTCGTCCTGGTGGTCCATGTTCCGCTGTGTCCAGGAGCTCGGACTGGGGCTTCGAGGACATTCTGCAGCTGGGCCCTCCCAAAGAGCTGGCAGTGACCGGCGGCTGCTGAGGGGGCAAAGGTTAGGCTCGCTGCTGCTCTGCCCTCGGCAGAGACCAGTCAGACCCCTCCCCAGCAGAGCAGACTGCACTGGGCCTTGGCCTGAGGGGGGTGGGGGGTGGCTGCTGCCCCAGCTCCCTTCTAGGTGCGACAAACCGTCCGAGGCCTGTCTCTCTTGGGTCACATCACAACTTGCATGTGCTCTTCTGGCCTCCGTGTTCATGTGGGGGCTGGGGACGGTGCCGCTTGGTGCCAGCCTCCCTCAGGCAGTCCTTGAAGGGCCCCTCTGCCAAATACACGTGTCCTTTCCCAACTCCGGCCTCCCCGGGAGTGCTGGCCCCTCACCCTCGCCAGGCTAGGTGCTCAGGAGCACAGCCCGCGTCGCCGGCTCCGTGAGCACAGGCTCCAGGACGTGATGCAGGGCCCCCTGGTCTAGGGGAGCACTCACTCTGGTTCTCGTCGCTTCACCAGGGCGGACAAAACACTTTTTCCTGCACCTCCCTCCGCACCAGTTACAAGCCCCGTGCCTGCCAGTGGTTCAGGCCCAGAGCTCTTCGTCATCCCCAGCTGGGCAGGGGCCCAGGCGAGGCTCAGTGACAGATGCCTGCCTGCTGCTGGGAAGGACATGGCTTCCTCAGTGCCCCCAGGATGTCAGCTCGACTCTCTGGATCTTCGCTTTGCCCCAAGGGCGTGGTGGAAATGTGTCTAGTCCTGAGAGGGGGAGCCCAGCCCCGAGAGGGGTGCTCTGATCCCAGGAAGCAGTGTCTGGCCCAGAGTAAAGGATCCAGAAGCATCCAGGGCCACACCCTGCACGTCGCTTGGCTGAGGGCCCCTCCTTGTGTCCTCAGAGCTGGAGGGGTGGTGTCCTCTCTCTCCTGTAAGGATGTTGTGATGACATTTAGGGCTTTGATAATAATCCAGGAGAGCCTCCCCATCTTGTGACCTTAACTAAATTCATCTGCACAGACCCCTTCTCCATATAAGGTGACAGTCACAAGCTCTGGGAATAAGGACCTGGATATTTTTGGGGGGCCACTTGTGAACCCTTCACTCCACCCACTCAATGGGCATTTATGGAACACTGACTGGAAGCCAGACCCGCCTTCTGGGACACGCCAGTGATTGGTGGATTCCAGAAGCTTCTGCTGCTTCAAGTTTAGAACTTGAGCCCCAGGACTCACCAGGTATCACTTGGTAGACGACAGGCAGGTGACAGCCTCTGTCCTGCTCAGGCTTGATCTGCCAGGGCATCACAGCCCAGGGACAGCCCAGGGCTGATACAGTTCCCGGCTGCCTCTATCTGACCCTGGGTGGGTTTGAGGGCCTCTCCATCCCTCTGGGCCCCAGGTCCTTCCACCCCAGGGTCCCGGCCCCAACCCAGCTGGTCACCTGGGGATTTGGATTTTGTGTCACCCCCTGGCTTGGGTCACCTGGTCCACCTGGCCTTCACACATCTCCTCCACCTGGGACAGAGGCACCCTCACCCTTCCTCTCTGAGCTGTCAGCCCACACAGCCTTCCCTGGGCTGTGATGCTAAGCCCCCCATGTCCAGGCCTGTGCAGGGAACTTTGCTGTCAGTGGGTCTAGGGACGTGCCCCGTGGGGCTGCAGGTGGCAGTGAGGACAAGGTGGGAGGCAGTGGGTGCAGGTGCCTGTGGGTCTGTGGCCGCCCTCTGCACCTGCATCCACTCCCCTGTCACCTCCATTTTTAGGGGGACAGGCAATGCAGGTGAGTGCTTGGAGCTTGGCTTTCCCTAAAGCCAAGCCCTAAGTTACACACCAGAATCTTCCGCACCACTGTGTGTGACAGACCTCAGACACTGTGGCCTGGGTCCGTTGATGACAACTTTCTTGTTCTGACCCTGCTTAGCCCTTCAGCCTTGTGGGGTCCCAGCTTGTGGCTACCTGGGGTCAGTGGGCCTGGCCTCCCGGCTGCAGAGATGCCACTGACCACCTACACTTCCCCACAGTTAGCGAGCCCAGCCGCCCACCTGTCCCCACTCCGTGGGCACACCCACTTAGGTCATCCAGTAACTGGCATGGCTGCCATCACACCCTGTCAGGTGAGACCCTCACCAGCCCTCCCTGGGGCCTGGGAGACGCAGGTGTGGGCTGGCCTCCTACATTGAGCTCTGTTGAGCTCGGTGGTTTCTCGGGACTGGTATTCTCCCCGTAGACCCAGGCCTGCCCCGAGGTTGGGGTCCTGCAGACCCAGAGGGAGGACCCCTCACAGCACCCCCCCCCACCCCCAGACTGGGGCAGCTGCCTCCCTGGGCGAGGTCCCCAGCCTCAGACAGAGGACCCTGGGGAGCCCCGGGGGGACTGGTGCTGCAGGGGCGCCTTCTGGCCTTCCCCTGAGGAGTCCCTGGGGTCTCTAACATGGTGGGTCTTCAGGGAGCTGTGCCTGCCCAGCCTGCATGTCCTGACCACACTTCCCCGGTCCCTGGGCCACACCTTTTCTAAGGGACGGCCCCGCCCCAGCTCTGTGCCTGTGGTGGGTCACCAGTGTGAGGACCCTTGTCTTGTCCACCCCCCCAACAGGCCTGGGCAGCCCTGCTGGGGCACCTGGCCCCCGTCTTTCCTGTTGGGAGACAGAGATGCAGCAGAGAGAGACCATGGGTGGCTGCAGAGCTTATATTTTGGGGGCCCATGGCAGGGAGCCCATTAGGGGGCCCACAGGAGGGAGCTCGGGGGGGGGGCACAGGAGGGAGCTCACAGGGGGGCCCATAGGAGGGAGCCCACGGGGGGGGCCCACAGGAGGGACCCCACAGAGTAACCCACAGGAGGGAGCCCACAGGGTGGCCCACAGGAGGGGGCCCACAAGAGGGAACTCACAGGGGGGCCCACAGCAGGAGCCCATAGCGGGGAGCCCACAGGGGGGCCCACAGGAGGGAGCCCATGGGGGGTCCCATAGGAGGGAGCTCACTGAGGGGCTCACAGGAGGGGATCCACGGGGGAGGGGCCCATAGCTGGGAGTCCATAGCGAGGAGCCCATGAGGGGGCCCATAGGAGGGAGATAAAAGGGGTACCCACAGCAGGAGCGCATAGCAGGGGGCCCACAGCGGGGAGCCCATGGTGGAGGGGCCCAAAGGAGGGAACTCACAGAGGGGGCTCACAGTGGGGGCCCACAGCAGGGGGCCTATAGCAGGAGCCCACAATGGGGACCCCACAGTAGGGTGTAGACGGCTTGTTGCCCAGAGCACCTTGGCATGTATGAATGTGTGCATGAGTGCGTGCATGCCGTTCCAGCTCACAGTGAGTGAGCGGCTCCCTGGTGGCTTCTCGGCATCACAGGCCCAGGGGTATGTCTGTTGGCTCCACAGTCAGCTTCAGCCACCCCCTTGCTGCCTGGGGGCCAGGACTCCAAGAGCATCCTGGCTGCAGGGCTCCCGACCCAGGGCCTCTTCTGAGCCCAGGCCCGTCACTCACGGCCATCCCATGTCGCTGTCCTGAGACCAGCAGCCAAGGTGCCTCGCTTCAATCCAGCTACTGAGCCTGGGAGAGCCCCCAGCTTTACAGATGTGCCGAGTACAGCGGCCCTGATACCGAGATGAAGGCCTTGGAGACCCAGGGCACTCAGCCTCGGGTGGAGGCTCAGGGACCTGGTTGTTTTGGCGGCGGTGGCTCCTGGGGGGTCTGCCTCACCAGCCGCAGGGGGTAGAGACACCTGGGTGGTCCTGCTCTGTGGAGAGGACCTGAGCCTGGAGGCCTCACCCTGTCCAGGGCCCTGGCTCCCCCACCTCCTGGCTGTCAGCCAAACTGCCCGCGGGATTTAGTTTATTTGCTGTTCCCTTGTGTGGCTGTTGAATCAGGAAGGAGAGAGGGGCCAGCAATGCACTGGCTCACAGACCCTCGGCCTCTGTCCCTGGGCAAATAAGTGCACAAAGGAACCTTGAGGAACCCTTAGCGCTTTGCCAAGTCCCTACGTGCAGGATTCCAGGCAGGCTTGCTTTTAGGAAACCTGCGTCTGTCACGTCCACATGGATGACGCTGGGGGAAAGAACATGTGACATGTTCAGAATACAGAGAAGCAGCCAAAGGCCTTAAATAACTTAATGAGGTTTCCTTGTAACACAAAAGCCAATCAGATTTTTAATTGAGAAGCGATGTGTTCTCTTTCGGACACACGAGTTTGCAGCCCATCGTTTGCTTACCTCCGTGTGCCATCGGAACCGTCTTTATTATCCTGTGAGCCGAAGCGGCACAAACGGGTTGTCAGAGCAGATGCTGGTCGGTTGCTGGGTCATGTGAGCTTCTGAGGTGAGTTTGCTTTTATTTCCAACATTATCTTGTTTGGGATATAGCTCACCCAGCTACTGTGAGCTTGGGAAGGACTGGGTGTCCCAGCCACACACGGGGCGGGGGTCCTGCTTAATGCTCCTCCCACACACGCACTTCTTTCTTTAAAATATTTTTTAAATTTAAAGTTTATTTATTTTTTTTTTGAGAGGGAGAGAGAGAGAGACACATGAGAGAGAGCATGGGAGGGGCCGAGAGACAGGGAGACGGAGAATCCCAAGTAGGCTCCACTCTGTCAGCACAGAGCACAATGTGGAACTCGAACTCACAACCATGAGATCATGACCTAAGCCGAGATCGAGTCAGATGCTTAACCCACTGAGACCCCCAGGGGCCCCCCACATGCTCACTTCTTTGGGGTTTATGTCCTCCAATAATGCCAGAAAGACTCGTGGGGAAGAAATAGCTGGGGTCAGAGGCTGTGGCCAGCCTGGTGGTGCTCATGGGCTGGTTTGCGTCTCTACACACTGCTCTATGCATTGACACAGTCACACACAGCATGCATGTGCCACACTGGGTATTTTTGTGCATAAACGGGACACACACACACACACGTATGTGTGACTTGTTTTTCCCATGTAGGAGCGTCCCTTAGAGCTCCTTCAGTGCGGTGTCCCTGTGAGCAACAGCACATCTCTCTAACCTGTTCCTTTGAATGGTCCGTGCTATCAGGCTGGGTGTGGCATCATTATTACTTGGACCATACGCACTGTTTTCATTTTCCGGCTGCTCTTGTGTATTTTACCATCCGTAGGACGTATTTGTATTACACTGAATATACAGGTTACCGAAACAGGATTGTCTGCCTCTGTGGTAGGAAGTTTTCCCACTGAGGATGATGAGGTGGTCCCTATTCATGCTTTCTGTGCCCCTGATCTACTGAACCCTTGCTGATCTCCCAGGACCTGTGAGAGACTGGGCCCCCAGACCCACAGCCTGGCATCAGAAGGCAGCACAGCTAGGCTCTTTCCTCCCCCGTATATCAGCACCAGAGGGAAGACTCCTGGAAAAGAGGGTGAGTGGGACAGGAGCTGGGAATGGGGCCCCACAAGCAATTAGGGGCCAGGCTGAGACACTCCATTTCCCCAGAGACGACCAGGGCTGGTGGGGGGAGCTGGTGGGGGCTCACTCTCATAGCAGCCTGTCTGGAGACCCTTGTTGTCTCCAGGGGTTCAAGAGCTCAAAGCTGGCAGGGCAGCCGGGACACCATCCCGGGGGACCCCACCCCAGCCTGCCTCCCACCCTCCAGGCAACACCTGTCACAATAGGCATGCCACAGTGGCAGGGATGCAAACGCGCCAGTGGAACAGACGCCCCGCCTGAGCAGTACATGGTCCACAGGTCCACAGCCTGCAAAAGTACCCCAGGCCTGACACTCAACTAGAGATGTAGTGGATGAAACCTCCAGGATGCAGTAAAACAGTGCCCATCATTCCAGCAATCAAGACAATCTAACTTGAGGAAAAAAACAGTCAAATGACAGCAACAGTCAGGTGAATTCCATGTTGCAATTATATGGCGATGTTTTAGAGCCGGAGAGCCAACTGGTGGTCGCCAGAGTGGAGGTGGTGGTGGTGGTGGGGTGGGGGGAGGCGGGGACAGGTGACAGGGATGGAGCGGGGTGGTGTAGGGAGGTGCCGAACCACTGCGCTCACTCCCGAAACTAATGGGACACTGTACGTTAACTACACTTCAGTAAAACACACACACGAGGTGCCTCAAAAATTAATCACAAATTTTATTGAAGCAAATGAAAAACTCAGAAAATGGAAGCAAAGAAGTAGAATCTATAAAAAAGAATCAGAACTTCCAGAACAGGAAAACACAGTCTGTGCCGGGCGGACACTAGAGCAGAGACGCAGTGCCCAGTCGGCGGACTTGGGGATGCGACAGTAGAAACGACAGAGAGGAACAGACTTCCCAGAGCAGCCTGGTGGGGACCTGAGGCAAGAACAGAGGTGTCACCCGGTAGCACTGGAGCCCCAGAAGGAGGGAAGGCAGTGGGCGGAAGACTGAGGAAATAATGACTGAGAAGTTAACACATTTGGTGAAGGATACAAACTTCCAAAAAGCAAAACCGGATAAGCTCGAAGAAATCACGACAAGACGTTTCACAACGAAGCCTTTGCAAACCAGAGTCCAAGGAGTGGTCTCGGAAGCAGCGAGAAAGAAAGGACATGTCACCTGGGGAGGGTTTCCCATCTGAGGCCGTGGGGGCCACGAAGAGGCTGCACAGGCTTCCCAAGTGCTGGACGTAGAAGGGCTGCTAGTTGTGGGCACCACATCCAGGGAACACGGCCTCTGGGAGCAGAGGGAAGTAGGCATGTGCACGTGTGAAAAGACACTACAGGAATTGCTTGCAGACGTTTCCGTGAGGACCGGCTTTGTGACGTGTTATGTAGCGTTCCTCAGACAGTTGGCAAATCAAAGGAGAAAGACTCAAGGGGCTTCATGGAGGAGCAGTGGTGAGACCGGGGGTGTCCACACAAGAGGCTTTCTTTTCCTCGAGTTTTACAAATCATATTTGACTATTGAAAGAGAAACCAAACGTTTAAGACAATGCTCTCCACGGGTGGGGAGGGTACAGGGACAGACGGAATGGGTGGTGACTGCTTGCTGGAGGATCTCCCAGTGTCTGTGATGATGTACCTGCTATGAAAAGTCCATGCAAAGACACACGTTTCGCTGTAAAGATTTGAAGGCACGTAAACCCAGATGGATCCTAAAATATGTTCAGGTGCCACAGGAAGGCAACAAGGGTGAACAGAGAAATGAAAACTGTAGGAACCAAATAGAAAGCACATGTAAAGAGATTTAAGGCTAATGTGTCAATAATTACTTTCAATGCACGGTCAGACAGACCAATTAGAAGATAGGTTGGCAAAATGGATCAAAGAGGTGACCTGACTATATACTGCTTGTAGGAAACTCACTTCAGGGAAGCCTGGGTGGCTCAGTCAGTTGAGTGTCTGACTCTTGATTTCGGCTCAGGTCATGATTCCAGGGTCATGGGATCGAACCCTGTGTCAGGCTCTGTGCTGAGCGTGGGGCCTGCTTGGGATTCTCTCTTTTCCTAGCTCTTTGCCCCTCCTATGCTCATGCTCTCTCTTTCTCTCAAATAAAAAAAAAAAACTCATTTCAAATTCAATGACAGATGGAGATAGAAAGTGGAGGGTTAGAGAAGGTGCATCACATGCTCGGTGAGTATGAGTCCCAGTGGCTGTATTAACATCTGAGAAAGTAGTCTTTGGAGCAGTAGAAGTTACAAGGGTGCAGAGTGACCCTGCTTAAGTCCTTAAGAGGACCCTGCAGAGTGACGGGTCCTCTTACCCGTCCACGGGAAGGCACAACACCCTAAAAGTGCAGCCTCAAAACTGATGAAACCACAATTTTATTATGATCAATAATAATATCAATGTTATTACCAAATTCTGGTTTAATTTTCTGCTTTTAAGGGACATTGGAATGATGCCATTGAATTTTTATTTACTTACCTGCCATCAACATCCTTCTAAGGGATCCGCATCCTAATTCCCTGTGGTTTTTTTTTTTTAATTTTTTTTTAATGTTTATTTATTTTTGGGACAGAGAGAGACAGAGCATGAACGGGGGAGGGGCAGAGAGAGAGGGAGACAACACAGAATCAGAAACAGGCTCCAGGCTCTGAGCCATCAGCCCAGAGCCCGACGCGGGGCTCGAACTCCCGGACCGCGAGATCGTGACCTGGCTGAAGTCGGACGCTCAACCGACTGCGCCACCCAGGCGCCCCTCCCTGTGGTTTTTATGTTCACTGGCGCATTATGATTTTGTTCTCTGTCGAAGACACCACGGATCCCACTCCAGAAGTGGGGGTGGCAATGACAAAGTGTTTCCCAATTTTTTCTTGTGTTTATGCAAGAAACAATTTGGAGGGGTGCCTGGGTGGCTCAGTTGGCTAAGCGTCTGACTTCAGCTCAGTCACGATCTTGTGGTTCATGATTTCGAGCCCCACGTCAGGCTCTGTGCTGACAGCGCAGAGCCTGGAGCCTGCTTCATTCTGTGTCTCCCTCTTTCTCTCTGCTCCTCCCCTGCTTGCACTCCGTCTCTCTCTGTCTCTCAGAAATGAACAAATGGTAAAAAAAAGAAACAGAAACAACCTGTCTTTGGATTCCTTCTCTCCTACACATGGTCTGGTGGCTTCTAGGGTTGACTTTCTGGCAGTCTCCTGTCTTGCGCACAAGGAGGATGGAGGCTGGTGTCTGAGGGTAGAACAGGGAGGCCTGCGATATGGAGGAAACATCTGTTGGGGATGTGAGGGGCACCACGTGTTTGCGGAGGAAGGCCTGGCCAGTGGCATCACCTGCCAGAGGGCACCTCCTCGGATGAAGCCCGGTGACATTGGGTGTCTCGGTTCAGTGCTATTGTGATGACAGAGGATGGCAGAGATGGTGTCACTGGGAAGGGTGGAAATTCATGCGACAAGTCAGCATGAGTTCCAGCATGGGACTTGGAGGGGATGCGTGGGGTTGGGTACAACCGGTCTGTTGTGTGCTTGTCTGGCAAGGGACATGTGCACCCTATGTTTATACAGCACTATCGACAATAGCCAAAGTATGGAAAGAGCCCAGATGTCCATCGACGGATGAATGGATAAAGAAGATGTGGTGTATATATATATACAATGGAGTATTACTAGGCAATCAAAAAGAACAAAATCTTGTCATTTGCAACTGTGTGGATGGAACTGGAGGGTATTGTGTTAAGTGAATTTAGTCAGAGAAAGACAAATATCCTGTGACTTCACTCATATGAGGACTTTAAGATACAAAACAGATGAAACATAATGGAAGCAAATATAATATAAAAATAGGGAGGGAGACAAAAACATAAGAGACTCTTAAATATGGAGAACAACAGAGGGTTGCTAGAGGGCTTGTGGGAGGGGGTATGGGCTAAATGGGTAGGGGGCATTAAGGAATCTACTCCTGAAATCAGTACTGCACCATATGTTAACTAATTTGGATATAAATTTAAAAAGCAAAATAAAATTTGAAAATAAAAAAAATAAAAAAGAATTGAAGGGAGGGATGAAGAGTTTCCCAGACAAACAAAGCTACAGAAGCTCATCACCACTAAAATAGTCCTGCAAGAAATATTAAAAGGAGTTCTTTAAGCTGAAAAGGAAGAGTGCTAGTTAGTAACAACAAAACATATGAAAGTATAAATCTCACAGGTAAAGAAAAATATATATTAAAGGTAGGGGGATAATCACTTATAAAGCTAGTAGGAAGTTTGAAAGATGAAAGTCGCAAAAATAACTGTAACTACATAATTACGGAGGGGACACACAAAATCAAAAGATGTGAAATGTAACATCAGAAACATAAAACATCGGGGCGCGGGTGGCTGGCCCAGTCAGCTCAGGTCATGATCTCACAGTTGGTGAGTTCTGTGCTGACCATGCAGAGCCTGCTGGGGATTCTCTTTCTCTCCCTCTTTCTCCACCCCTCCCCTGCTCATGCTCACTTGCTCTGCCTCTCTGAAAATAAATAAATAAACAAACATTTTTTTAAACACATAAAACATGGGGGAATAAAAACATAGACTTAGAATGTGTTCAAGCTTAACCTTGTTATCAACATAAAATAGACTTATAAATACAGCTTTCATATGTAAGCCTCAGGGTAACCACAAAGCAAAAACCTGTAGTAGATACACAAGGAGCAAAGAAGGGCAATCTAAACGTAACACTAAAGCGAGTCAACAAGCCACAAGGGAAGGGAGTGAGATAAGATGAAATGAAAAGAGAAGAACTAAAAAAACGACCAGAAAACAACGAACAAGACGGCAATAAGGACAAGTCTATCAATAATCACTTTACAGGTAGATGGACGACTCCGTATTTCCGAGGTGACAGTTTTCTTCAGACTGCTCTTAGCTCTGCTAGGTAGAAACCAGACACCAGCAGTGGAGGGAACACCCTGAGGTGGAGCCCTAAGTCCTTGAGTGGACAGACAGAGAGGAGCTGCAGGTGAGAATGCACGAGCTGCACATTAACACCCCAGGGTCAACATCGTGACCTTGTTGCTCCCAAGACCTGGAGGCTGACAAAGAGCCACAGGTGCAGAGCTTGTGATGTCCTCCTCCACCTCCACCCTAAGGTAACCCTTAGATTCATCACAATGCATTTGCTTTGTGGGACAGCCCCTTCCCATGGAGAAAGCCTGCCCTGAGGTTCCCTACTAACCTTGTAGGGTCAAAAACTCCCCCTCCCAACCTGTGGAGTGATTGGAAGCGTCTCCATTAAAGACCACCCCTCTGTCCACCCCAGCCCCTCCCAGCCCAGAGAGACCCATATCCAACCCAAAGTAACCTGGGACCAATCTGCACCTTGAGAATGCACTTTCCAATTAATAAACTGCTTTGCACTTGCTGCTTTCTTCCTGGCCGTCTTTATTTGAGCTCAGATCCCCATGTAAGGAATCCAAGGACCCAGACACAAAACACTGACTACCACACCAGTAACAGCTCCAATGTGGTCAAAACCAAAACCCCAAAAGAATTT